GCTGAAGTATGAGACAAAATTCCTGTTGACTGAATGGAGTCAGCTTTACCTAGAAGAAACTTGTTTGTGGCCCTGAGGCCTGTATGTGATGCTGGAGACAAATCTCTTCATCTAATGCTATTTTTCTTGTTTCTTAGGAGGGGTGGGGGGTGAGAACCGAGGAGGGAAAGCTGAAGTCCAGAATTGACAGCATGAGCAGGGATTAGACCTTGCTGTTCCTCCCACCTTTTTCTCCCTGTTGGTGTGCCTCCATGCTAATTTAGACCTGTGGCAACCATCAAAGCCTTGTGCATACCTTCTGCACAAAGGGGCCTGTCTCCCACGTGAGGGCGTTCTCTGCTGGGGCAGAGTCAGTTCGTCCCCCAAAAGAAAAATCTTAAGCACCCAATTGCCTGCTTGACTGACTCCCTGACTGCTATTATGTTTCTAACCACGGTAATTGGCTTTAGTAGTTATTAATGGATTATGTTTGAGGAGGGAGGGACAGAATCCAACACCTAGCTTTGTAGCTGAGGGACTCCCTGACCAAAGTGCTGCTTTCCAGACATGGTGTTTGACTGGTGAGCTGTCCAAGTGGGTGTCTTTTGCTTGTTTTCCTCTTAGATGGGACACATTGGCCAAAGGGATATCTTCCGTCTTGTCCTGCATTATGGTGGAGAGAAAGCAGGTATTGAGCAGAAAACCTGTTTCCAAATATGAGATGCTGCAGGCTTTCTTAGTTGGTCCTCATGGCTGTTGCCTTGTCTTTTCCTTAGACTGTCAGACTTTGGTCAGAGACTTCCATGGAGAAGAATGTGTGCACTCTTCAGCATCTGAGCAGAGAGCCCTGTGCTATAGGTGCACTGGGCCAATTGCGTGTGCGCTGCTAATGAACCTGGGATTTTGCATGTAAGACAACCTGGTCGAAGGGACTTTGAAATAGCTCTGGTGCTACAGGCCTTATCTAGGCCTAATGGGCCCTTAAGGATCACAGGACTTGTGGACGCATCCAGATATGTGAGGTTAGATAGGAAGGATAAAGCCAACAAAAGAGAGAGCTTTCACAGCTGTAGGTCTTTCTTGGTTCCCATTAGCTCTTTGGGGCAGCTTGATGTATCTGCTTGCCTCTCTTGCAGAGTGTATTGGAAATGCTGCTTTGGCCTTATGATTTGGAGAAACCAATTGCTCACCTAAACCACAGAGCTAGAAGTCCTCACTTCTGGCCCTGCTTCCACATGGCTCTTCTCTGGCTTTAAGTGAGTGTCATATTCACTGCTTTGCTGCTGGGTGCCTTGTAACATCAGCAGTAGTGCTTCTTACAAAAGTCAAGGATGCTGCAAGAATATCCATTCCTGGTACAGTAGAGGTTTGGAGACACCTTCTGATTTCCAAAGAAAGGGTGTTTTAGAGGATCAAAGAAATGTTTGAAAATGCTATTCTTAAAGATGAGACATTGTTTCCTTAATTTGCTTTCCTCTTTTAACTGCCAGCCCTGTGTCATGCTGCGAAAGATGTTTAGGCAAGGCATAGAACTGGCTTTTATTTAAAGCAGGTTCCTTTTCCTATATTTGTGCTATCCTTGTTGCAATGACTTAAACATAGTTTTGACATTTTATTCTTAGTAGCTGCAATAAATGTGGCTTTGTGAGAGGTCATTTATAGCTTACTTAGAAACCTTTGTGTGAGCTGCTTTCTCTTATTTGGGTCGAGGATAGGAAGTTGACATAAAACCAGCAGTATGATGTGGAGAGCCACAGCACTCGTGTTCCTGCTGCTTGATTTTGAGGATTTGTTCCTGTCTTATCAACTAGTTTTAGGCCATTGGCTATCAGACAACCTCTGGAGCCAGCATGTGCAGCAGGGACATAGCATCACCAGAGGACTTTGGAATGGACCCTGCTGGAGAGTGTGATCTGAGCCAAATGTTGCTGCAGGAGGGCTGTCCTGCCACTAACAGTGCTTGAGTGCTGGGGAGAACAACCTGATCCAGTTTTGAAATTGGCTCTGCTTTGAGCAGGCTGGACTAGAGACCTCTATCCTGTGATTCGTTAGGTCTGTGATGCTGCAGCCAGTTCATGATTGTGCTCAGAAGTTGCCAACAAACAGAAGCAAGACATGAGTAGGAAGTAACAGGGAATTTTCCGTGAGGTTTCTGGAGCTTACAGCACTGACATATATTCATTCACTCATACGAAACATGCTGAGTACTGTACTAACTGTTTTGAAAATGTCATTGCAATTTACAGCTGCTCCTATTTTAGGTTTTCTCTTTGCATATGCAAATACATTTTTATGTCCTGCCAATTCTCTGCAGTTGTGACCTGCTGCATCTGGGAAGCTCAGCTATTGAGAGCTCTGGACCACTTTCTCCCTTTGCTGCTGTCTGCCCCTTGTGAAATGTGATGGAACATACTGACATAGTCTTGGACTAGAATTCGGTCTGTCTTGTAGCCTATTTTCTGTCTTGCTTATGCACTATTTCTTCAGAACATAAGGATTAGTAAGTGTTTTCTTGTTTGCTTGGTTTTCTTTAAACAGCTCATTTGTGACAGGGACGGCCTGCTGTGGACACACCTCACCTCTGAGAATCTGGGACCTTGAGAGGTAAGTGAGCTTCCAGGTTATGGGGAGGGACTTGATGGGCTAAATGAATAACATTGAGAAGTGCAGTACTGGAGATGGTACAAAATCATTCCTTTCGTCCATGAAGGCAAGGGATGTTTAAATATGAGATATAGGATGCAGTGGGGGACAGAACAAACTGGTGTGGAAAGATGCCTGGGGGGGGGTGTGTGTGTGTTTGGTTTAGTGGGGAGCAGCTCAACTTTTCTTCCCAGCGTTTCCAGTTCTCCACAGCTATCTGGTTTCTTCCCATTACCCACGTACAGTCAGAATATGCCTATGAAACCTTCCTTTTCATCGGTCTCTCAATTGATGCTTCAGCCTGGGCCAGAGGGGTAAGGAAGGTGCTCTTCATCTTCCCATTCACTTACTTGTCTGTGGTGCTCAGAAGCCAGAGGCAAACGCAGGCTCTATAGACATCTTGTCTTGGCTGGTGTTTCTAGAAGCTCAGGGAGGTGAGGGGTGGCAACAGGTTATCTATGGAAGTGACTTAGGCATGTTGTCTTCTCCCTGTCTTAATAAGCATGAGGAGGTTAATTGCTGTGGCCTCTGATTTGGGGCCTTTGGGTAGTTCCTGTTTGGTGAAGGTGCTGACCTTAGCAACTGGGGAAATGTTGGACTCAAATCCTGACATGAGACTCAACTGCTGACAAATTTGAAACTCTCAGCCTGGGGGTCTTTGTGTAGTGATGGACAGATAGCAAATATTTGGCAGGATTATTGAACGGCAGCTCAGCTTTCCAGGACTGGTATGCTCTGAGTAGGAGTGGCACAGCACAGATTATCAAGGGAGTGTCATCAGGATTGAGTTGAGCTGGTGGGCTTGGGGAGGGGAGAGAGGGGGCAATGGCAGAAGGGGCTTGAGGGGTGTTAGCAGAACTGTATTTGGGGAAAGGAGGTAGAGGAGGATTGGTGTGCATGCAGGGCTTGTCTGAGGCCAATTGCCTTCTAATCTATAGTTGGGATAGTTCAGATTGTCAACTGCATCAACTACAGACCAGTTCAGTTTTCTCTGAAGTAACAAAAATAAAGACTTTGGAAAGGATGCATCCCACAAAAGACAAACTAGAACAGGAAAAACAGCACCAGTGAATTCAGCTATGGTGCATGTTTCTCGGTGACCTAGTCTGGTGGTGCCTTTGGAGTAACCCAGAAGGATGCAGGCTGTGCTGTGACACCCCTGCCCATCAAGTGTTCCGGCTGTTCTTGAATAGAGGCATCTGACAGGGGTGAGGAGATAGGCAACCCTCTCCCCCCTGCCTCAGCATCTCTGTCAGCCTTTCCCAAGGAAGCCTGAAAAGATAATAAAGCTGTGTAGAAAATAGGATTAAGGTAATGAACAGGCACAACGGAGTTTGATCTTTCAATAACGTCAAAGCCTGAGTGACAGGCAAATAAAAAAGCCAAGGCAACCTAGGCCACTGGGCCTCTGTTGCAATGGCTGAAGTGTCAAACTTATTCTTCCCTCTTCACCTGTCACAGCTGGAATGCACCATGCCACTGAGTCTTTTCCTCACTGGGGGCCTGTGTATGAGCTGGAAGTCTCGTGAGCACGTGTGGGGCAGGAGGCTGAGTAGGGAGCATGACTGGGAAACCACCGCGTGAAGCTTGCTGCAGTCATTCATAGTGAGGGAGTACAGACTTGTCCTTCCAGGTCTTGAATGCTCTATAAACTGTTCTTCCCAGAAGAGCTGTGGATTAATTTTCAAAGGCTCCAGTAGTTTCCAGAAGAGATCTCACAGGGAAATGCTATTTCTTCTTTTGAGGTTTGTGCATGTTGTCTCCCTGGTCAGACTCCAGAAGTGGGTGCGTGGCATGGAAACTCAAAATCTTAGAGCTACCAGGACTGAAAAGCTTCTCCTGTGGCCAGTCTGTCCTGGATGTTTGGCAGGGACTCTTCGTTGGAGACTGTAGCGGTAGGACAAGGTGTGATGGGTTTAAACTTAAACAGGGGAAGTTTAGGTTAGATATAAGGAAGAAGTTCTTCACAGTGAGGGTGGTGAGGCACTGGAATAGGTTGCCCAAGGAAGTTGTGAATGCTCCAACCCTGGAGGTGTTCAAGGCCAGGTTGGACAGAGCCTTGGGCGACATGGTTTAGTGTGAGGTGTCCCTGCTCATGGCAGGGGGGTTGGAACTAGATGATCTTAAGGTCCTTTCCAACTCAAACCATTCGATGATGATTCTATGATTCTGTAATGAGCCAGGCCCCCTGAGTTTGCTGCTTACCCATTCCTTGAGGCCACAAAGGGCCAGTCTGGCCTGCAGAGCCCGAACGTGGCAAGGATGTTATCTCCAAGAGCAGAATCCAGGTAACTTCTCTGTCAAAAAAATGAGGCAGGGTAGAGTAGTGCTTAAGACATGTTCTTTAAAACTACAGGATCCTTAGCACCTCTTAGATGTTTAATGCTACCCGAGACCAGTTAGTGCAGTTAGCTGGGTACTTATTCATGGGGGGTGTGAATAAGTTGCAGTAGTTTCTGTGGCATTCTCTTCCCTTGGTGTAGGTGGTCTTTTTCCCCAACAGCCGAGAGCTGGAACATGCTACAAAAGGATTTAAAGCTTAATAACCTTTTGTGTACTGATCATCTTAGTTCCAGGCCAGATAAGTCCTTGGCTGGTGCTTGTAGCTGTTGGTCATGGTATGTTTCGTATTTATGACCTTTGCTGTTCCCTGACCCTGGGGCAGCCATTCTCATCCCTCCAAGAGGAAGGGGATAAAGTCTTCACCTGGAAATATGTCCTGGGCTTTGAAAAGGGCTTGGTTGGGTTTGGCAGTGAGGCAATTTTTATTGGGGAAAGGAAACGCCTCTTGCTGCATCCCACCCCCACAACTGTCTTTCATTTCTGACTGCTGAGATGATGGTGTTGGATCAAAGCTGCAACAGGCAGCAACAAGCAATTGTCAAGAGGAGTCTAAAGGAGGGGAATGACCGCGTAATGCCAAGACACTGTCTCTGATGGCTGAAATTCCAGCTGCTGCTACACCTGGCCCTTTCTCCTGTAATGAAGGAGGATTTTTTTTTTTCTTACGCTTTTGAAGCTGGCTAGCTGTACCTCTGCAGGACATACCTCATCCCACAGATGCTACATTATGCCATCTGATTGCTTTTAGATGTGGGGAAGTGGCTGTGCACTTATTGACACTCAGGATTAAGGTGTGTTCGTGGAGGGGGGCTATGAATAGCTTTGGTGATTAGAGGTCCGCACAGGAAAGGAAAACGATTAGCAGTATGGGACATTGGATATTAACCTGTGTCCTTGCATCTAGTATCAGGCCTTGCTGACACCTTGGCCTCTTGGCAGTTCCCTTGCCCTTCTGTGCCAATGAGGAATATGATGGCAGCTGCCTCTCATACAGCTCGGCTATCTCTGCTCCCTTTTGCCTTTCTCTTCTCAGACCTTCCAGACACATCTGCCAGTGCTAGTGTGTGGCTCAGCAGAAAAGTCAGTTAATGGCAAGCAAGAGAAAAAGACACTTTCTTCAAATCATGTTCTTTCTTTCTTTCTTTTCCCACCTCCTGTCTCCTTCGGGAGTTTATCTCCCTGGGAGATGAGGGTGATGCACCACTGGGAACAGCTCCAAGGTCAGCATTTGTCATTTGCCTGCAGAGAATTGTTGCTCCCCAGCCTATCGTGGTGGTCTGCATGTCTTTAGGTGACACATGCCCTGGCCTCAAGGTTGCTTCTCCATAAGGTAGGATACCCCAGAGGCGGCTTTGCAGCAACTCTGCCAAGCCTGATATTTGAAATGGACCAGCGATCTGTCTGGCATGGTAGTCTTTATGCTATAAACATTTTGAATACACAAATCCTACATTGTCCTTTCCTGTGACACAATGTGACAGATACAGGGCACATGAGCTGTTGTGAAAACTGAGCCAAAGTTAGCTGTGCCCTGCAAGCTACCCAGATCCTCCACCTTTTAAATGTCCAGTCTTTGTCCATCTCCTCTCCCCTTTTGAAAGCATTTTTGGCAGAGAGGTTTTTTGGTATTTTGTTGCGGGATTTTTTTGGTTTGTTTTTTTTTTTTTTAAGAACCCTCTAATTTCTTTTTTGGTTTTTCTCCCTCTCCCGAGTCCTTTGAAAGTGGCTTTACGCCGTCACTGACACCAAACTGACACTTTGCGTTTCCCCACTTCTTATCCCTTTATGGCAACAGATGTTGAAATTTTGTATCCCTTTTATCTGTCCCTCTTTGCCCTCTTCCTGTAATTAGGTTTCCCTTGTTAGCAGTACAAAGTGGCCCGGTTTGCTGCCTGGCCTTTTGAGCCATTGTGTCTGAGCACATTTTTTTTCCTCCTCTTTCGGAAGAGTTCCTTCCCCCTTAAGTAATAGGCAGGGTGTGGGCCAAAGCTGTGGCTTTTTCTTGTTTCTTTGTTCTTCATTTATCTCTGCCACCTTTTTCAAAGGGATGAGGGAGAAAAAAAATAGAGAGTGGATCGAAGGGGAAGATAGTTGCATTTCTTGACCGTCAGACCCCTCTGCTCTTCAGGTGTTCAAGGCAGGTGCCTTTGATGTCTGCAAGTTTTGGGGAGGTGGGAGGTAGAGGATTCATGAGAGTAGCTTGGGAGTGGAGGAAAAGGGAGATTCAGGTGTGTGGCTGGTGCCCTCAGCAGATGGGTGGGGATGAAGCTTCCAGGGTAGCCAGGCAGCTGCGGAGCAGGTTAGTAATCCATGTTTACCTCTAGTGCTATCACATTGTGCTCTTTCTTTCCGAGACCCAGCGTGAGCATTACTGTCATAAGCAGCTGGCTGAAGTTTGCTAACTTGCTGCTGCTTGATCCCTGGTATGTGCTTCCTTGGGACCCTTCCTAGGTTCCATCTGTCTGTGCAGTGGGGTGGGCAAGAATTAGTTGCTGTCTTTCAGATTTCAGCGTATGTTGATCTGCATCCACCTTGGTGGCTTTTAGAGCCATTGAGTGGGTGAACATGAGCAGTTGTCAACAAGGAGGGAGAGCTTTAAAACTTGGGTTCCCTGTGCT